GGCTGGGGGAGCCACTCACACTGTGGCTCTGCATTTTAAATGTGGTAAGAGCTGCTAGGCTGTTACTACATTTAAAATGCAGAGATGCAGTATGTCAGACCAATGCAAGCTGGGACTGCTTGGTCCCAGCTCAGGCTGAATCCAGCAGCACCTGTTCGTGGCACCTTCCTAGTGAAATAGTTTTTCCTAATATCCAGTCTAGACCTCCCCCATGGCAACTGGCTTTTTGTAGTTACTAGATAATTCCATTCCACTCAACCACAGTAACTATCTGCAGATTCACTCACCAATTCCAGTAGTGAAGCACTGCCTCCATTTCCCCGCAACCATCTTTAGCTTTGACCGGACAGCATCTGGACTATCTGCTTTAAAATGTTCAACCCCGTCTGAGGGGACAGAGTCCCTTAGTTTCATTCCAATACACCATCAGAACAAATGTGTCTCCTGCCCAATGAGGCCCAGACTTCAGCACACTTCATCCCTAGGGTTGCCAGGTGTCCGGTTTTCACCTGGACTGTCTGTTATTCGGGTCTCCGGTCTGGTAAAAAAAATACCCCAGGAAATACCGGACATATGAAATGTCTGATATTTCCTGTTTCCCTTGGACAGAAGCCCGGCAGGGACAATTTTCTCCTGCTACGTCTGGCAGGGGCAAGGGAGTGAGGAGCGCAGCAGAAACATAGCAAAAGCGGTGAGGGAGGGGGCACTGGGCAGGGGTGGGAGAGGAGCGCATGCTGCTCTGGCCCACGTGACCCTTTGAGCAGAGACCTGGGAGCTGGCCACATGATGCCTCCCTCTACACACTGCGAGCCGAGACAGATGGGCCAGGTAGCAGGAGCGGCAACTTTAAAAGTAAGATTTCTTACCCGGCCATCCGGTTCCTCTGGTGCCTGGCTCTGCAGGAGTGGAGGGGGTGCGTGAGAAGGATTTGATTGAGGTGGGGCACTCCCGGTGCTAGGGTTGCTGGGGGAGGGGTGAGTGCACAGGGATGCTGTGGGGGGCCTGGTTCTGAGGCAGGGGTGAGTGCATTGGGATGGGGGGATTAAGAGGGTCTGGCTCTGGGGGAGGGGTGAGTGCATTGGGCATTAGTGTGTGGCCCCTATCTGGAGGAGTGGTGTAAGATGCAGTACAAGCTCTTCCCCTCCTAGGGTCAGGCTCAGCACCCCTTTTTTTTTTTTGCTCAAAAACTTTGGTCTCCCCCCTTTTTTTGCTCAACAGAATTTTTTCCCAGTTTTTTTTTGGGGGGGCGGTATTTTTTGTTAAACCATCTGGCAGCCATATGCATCCCCCCAACTTATATGGGCTCTCACTGGCAACACTCTGGCTCATTGTCCACCTGTCACCTCCCAAACTCAATGAACTCACCCATCTCATCAGCTGGACTCTCCTAACCAGAGTTTCTAGCAGGCCACAGACCTCACTTCCCAACACTAGCTCAGCTGATTTCCTCACAACAGCACAGCCTGTCCACTCTCCTGCCCATCTATCTCTCAACTACTAGGCCTTCCTCTGCTTCAGTCAGCCTACCCATGGTCCTTCCAGCCAGGGGATTCTGCCCCACCTGGCTCCACTTCCAACTCAGGCTCCAAAGTAACCCTCAGCAGCAGCTGCTTCACTCCAAATCAAGCTGTGTACGATCTTCTCCCCATTCTGCATGCAGCGCAGTGGCTTCCTCAGGAAACTGGTCAATTCTCCCCTCCCCCAGCTGTTAATCTTCAGCTACCTTCTCTTCTCAGGAGTTGCTATAGCAAAATCCCCACAGCAACTTTCCTCAGCCACTTACCTGCCTCCCCTCACTCCCTGCCCCTGACAGCTTTGCCCGGGGACTTCCATTCCAATTTCCTTCTCCTCCTCTAAGCCCCACCCCATACAGAGAGGTAGCAGGGAAGGCTAATTAAACAGGGCTGTCTGGCTCCAAGCCTCCAGGGCCTTAAGTGAGATGGCCACCCTGTCAGAGGTACCCGTATAAATAGTTTGTTATCTTAACAGGTTAAACATTCTCTGACTAGCCCTCCTGGGGCACTCCTTGGAAATCAGCACTGACAGCTGTCAGCTGGTGGGCTGAGTAGGCAAGAGCATAATCAGTCTTAGAGCCTCAAGCCTTTTCCTCCAGGGATCGTGTTTATAACAATAAAATCAGTTAACACAAATAGAAAGTAAACAGAAAACTTCTTCAGTATGGGACTCAAGCCAGTCCTATGAACCCAGCTGCAAGTCCACACTCCTCTTTTTGTCCCTACCCCAGTGCCTAAGGAAGTCCATAAAATCCACTGATTCCAGAACCCCAGAAAAGTAAATCTGATCTATGGAAAGCCCTGAACATCAGTCCTGAACCTTCCTTTCCCCTCACCCCATGTTGCTGGGGCACCAGAGGAGTGAGGTGTCTCAATTGGGGGCCACATCAGTGAGCATTGGAGTTTTTTTTGCTTCTCATTTGTGTGGTCCCCAACTGTTTTTTTTGTGGGTCAGTGACCCCCGACCCAAAAAGGGTTCTCCACCCACCTTAACCTCTCTATTAGCGCTTGCCTTGAACATCTGTATGAGAGTGGGGAAGCTTAGCTGAAGGTAACCTGTTGCTCTCTAATGACCAAGCAATACCCATGTGCTACCTCTTATCAGGATGGAGGGATCGTGTTTATAACAATAAAATCAGTTAACACAAATAGAAAGTAAACAGAAAACTTCTTCAGTATGGGACTCAAGCCAGTCCTATGAACCCAGCTGCAAGTCCACACTCCTCTTGCCTTAAGGTAAGGGTGGGGAACCTCAGGCCCGAAGGCAGGATGTGGCCCCCAGCTTGCCTCGATCTGGGCCCCAAGACTCCCCTCCGGAAAAGGGCGCTTTTTCCGGAGGATCGGGGCCAGTGTAGACGCTCTTTTCCGGCTTTTCTAAAAGCCGGAAAAAAGCGGCGGACATTTTTATTTAAATGCCGCGGGGGATATTTAAATCCCCCGCGGATTTCCCTATTACGACCTGTGAAATTAGCATGCCCCTTTCGGAAAAGGGGCCAGTGTAGACGTAGCCCCAGTGTGGTGCTATGGCCAAAAGGACTAATGAAATCTATAGACATTTAAATGGGGGAATTTCAGTAAGACTACGGGATTATACTTCCTCTGTATTTGACAATGGTGCAACTGCTGTTGGAATGTGTCGAATTCTAGTGTCCACACTTCTAGGATTTTGGCAGGAGTTTTAGTAGAAGTCTAAACAATATGATTGGTAAATTAACTCACCTTTCATATAGGTTCAGACACTAGTGTATGCTTGAGACAAGGTGAGTGAGGTCAGATATTTTATTGCTGTTGGCGAGAGAGACAAGTTTATACAGACCTTCTTTAGATCTGCTGATTATGTAAGCTCGGAAGCTTGTCTTTCTCACCAACAGAAGTTGGTCCAATAAAAGATGTAATCGCACTCTCCCTGTCTCTCTGATATCCTGAGACCAACATGACCACAACACTGCATAACACAGGGTTGGTCAGATAAGAGACATAATCCTGTGGGAGTGGGCAATCCTGCAAATAAAGTTTTACACATGGACCCTCACTGATCCAGGAAGTCCCAGGGATGCCAGTGATATTCTATATGGGGAGTAGGAATCTCTGTTTGTGAATCTATTTGCAAGATAGAGTCCTTAATCCCTGATGATCAAGGGCCAGACTGCATCCCAAACGGATACATGACCAGATTTGGATGAGGGTTTCTGCAGCCAAACTAGGGACATAGTCGCTGAGCTAAGTCTGGAGATAATCCCACAGGCAATGGCGAACATTCTGCTTGACTGTAGACAGTCCTATTAGCCCGTTCCCACGTGTTAAAAATGTATTTAATTAAAAAAATCGAACCAAATTAATGTAAAATGAATAACTTGATAATGGAAGGTCTCACAGGGATACCATGAGGCTCTGCCCCCATGTGGGTAACTAGCAAGACGTTGGCATTTTCTTTGGTGGTACTAGTGCTGTATAATGCCATCAATTTATAAGTAGAATTTTCCAAGGGAATGCTAATCAAGAATGATTAGCAATGGTTTGGCCTTATGTCTCCAATGTGTACAAAGACCGAATGCACAAAATCCTCAACAACTTAGTACTTTGTCTCCCTGAATAAATATAATTCTTAGAAACATAAATAAGCTGCTTTTGAGAAATAATCTAATTTTGAATATTTAAATTTTATGCAGAGCCTGTGAACTGAAGCTACACAAATTCAGACTACAACGTGAGGTTTTTGCAGAACTTAGTGGGTAAGGCTCCCTGGCCTGTGTTATGTGGGCAGTTAGACCAGATGATCAAAAAAAGTAGTGTCATAGATTTTTAAAGCCAGAATCGATGAAATCAGGAACTCAGAAAATAAATTTTCATTAATGCATGGGACATGTCTATAAGGGTATGTCTAAACTACATGGCTCCATCGACGGAGCCATGTAGATTTGTTGTTTTGGCAAAGGGAAATGAAGCCGTGATTTAAATGATCGCGGCTTCATTTACATTTACATGGCTGCCGCGCTGAGACGACAAACAGCTGATCAGCTGTTTGTCAGCTCGCACGCTAGTCTGGACGTTCCCCCTGTTGACATCAAAGCCCTTTGTCGGCAGCCCCGGTAAACCTCATTCCATGAGTTCCCTTTGCCTATGTTTCTAATCTACATGCCTCTGACGACAGAGGCATGTAGTCTAGACACAGCCTAAAGGATTGCAAATGTCTGATTTGGATATAATAGACTGCTTCCTGGTCTGTATTGCATATCTAACATGGCGTACATGGTGAAATAAAAAATATGATAGCGGACAAATCTTTTCAGTTAAATAATTCCCCCTTAGAAATAAATATGTGAATCCATTAAAATGTACACAAAACAGTGTAACTTAATCTGAAATAGAAAAATATAATTAAGAAAGAGAAGTTTTATTAGGGCAATTTCACTTTATTTTTCCATACAGCAAGGTCAACTATAGCAGTAATAATAAAATAAGCATGGAAACAAATTGCAGCCCCGGACAGAGTACATAATTTGCAGCAACTACAAGCAAAAAGTAAGTCTGTGATTACATAATAGTAAAACCAAGCACATCTGTCCTTTCAGCAGATGAAATTTGCAGGGTTGCAAGTAAGTGCAACAGTATTAATTAATCAGTGTGAAAACTGAATATTCCAGATAAAAATAATGGCCTAATCATTTTTCTTTCCAACTTTGGCTTATCGAATTACATGGTTTCTTGGGTGCTTCTCATTCAAATAGCAACATTTAATAGGTTTTTGTTTTTCACCTGCTAAAAGAACAGGACCATTACAATAAAAAAATAATCACATAACTACAGCTACAATGTGCTGTTTGGTTTGCCTGTTCATGATTTAATTTTTTGTGAAAGTCAATATTGTTTTGAAGATTTTGTTTTGTGAACAATAAACCACTGAAATTGTCAGAAACTGTTTTGAATAGCATATATCCTTATTATATTTGTTGATTGTTTTTTTGTTGTTTTTGTTTTTTGTTGTTTTTTTGTTGTTTTTGATACTTTAAACATGCAGTAGATTTTGAATAATGTACGGAATATTTAATCCATGATTTCACCTTGATGGTTTGAAGTACCTGCTTTTTAATTTTTTTTAAAGTAATGATTTTCAGGCAGATTTGAACCAGTGGAGCTTTTGTCAGTCATGAGGTCTAGGAAGGATGGCATATCTTTCCAGCTGAAAAAATCCTGGCAAACTACAAGCTGTCCACATAAAGCAAAGCAACTTTTTTGAAGGGGTATGGAGTGCTAACTCTGTGCCACTTTTGCAAGCAATTTTGTTCAGCCTGTCATTTTATTCACCTTAACAAAACTCCTTGTAATTATAGACATTTTTATTCAAAATAAGATCTTACTATTATACAGGTTTCTCTCTTTTTTGACTATATACAGAAGTGCAAAAAGTCAACCTTCTCTCTATACGTTCCCACATGCTAAACTGCAGCATAATCAACCCTCAAGAGTTTGCACACACACTTTAATTCTTGTTACGTAAACTTTGAGTATTTGGATTATCAACAAAAAGTCCCTTGATCTATTGATTATGCAGCTTATTTATAACAAGGCCTGATATTCAGGGATTTCAAAAAATATTTAAACAATATTTTAACATTTGAAATGGATACAGTAGAAAATAAATTTTATTCTAATATCTAGGAACTAGATTTTCTTATAATAACTAATTACAAACAAAATAAATCATCAAAATATTATTCAATTGTCTGCCAGGATTGTTGCGATAGCAACAACTGAACTTCTTACTTAGCAATGATTATATAATTATAAGATATCCATATAAAAGATCTTTGTTCTTTTAATGAAAACTAGACAAGAACTAACAATGACTGACGTTCTTACATTGTAATATTAAATCAGTAAAATATAAATCATTTAGTTAACAATAATACAAATACTCATGACACTACATGTAAGTTCAAAACTGAATATGTTATGAAGAATAAAACTACATTTTAATTTTTTTATTTTTTTTGTATTTTGAAAAAGTCATCAGTAAAATCTAATAAAACAAAATTCTACAAACTGAAATGGTATTCAACTGGTAATAGAAAATGAAAATGATCTAATAAATGTAAGAAATAAAAACTAAATTTTAACAAGAAAAATAAGTAATAGTCTATAATGTAAGTGACTACAATAACATGTGAAGTCATCTATACTTTCTTAACACGATTGAAATTACATTGGTATGGGTTTCAACCCGTAATGTAATAATCTAAGGCTTTAATAGATGTACAGTACAATCAGTAAAATCAACACATCATTCTTATACTAGAAAGCATCTCTCTCAAGCATAAAAACTTGAAGTAAACTAGGAAGTATGGAAAGTTCTAGAACTGAACTCTCACTTCTTCCAATCCATGCTATTCTACCAGTGACCTGGCCCCCACTTCAGCAGTTTGCTGAACAGAGCAAAAATATCCTTTATTAACTGCAACATCCAAACCACAAAAAGGAATTCCTTTGGATGAATCCATTCTTAAAAACTTGAATGCACATCTATTTTTATTATTATTTTGTAAAGGCTTTCTAAGGCTATAAGCAGTTAATCTGAACAAAAAAAAAGTCACATAAAACTCACCCAGGTATTTAACCCACCCAATTTCTATGCTAATTAACATCTCAGTTTTTTTCATATTTTGGTTTATCATGCATCTGATGTCAGTGCTTCTTTCTTCTTTGTTTAGAGTCACTATTTTGAAGTGTGACTTTGATGAAACATTTTAGGCAAAATTGTAACCTCTCTTTGCAAACATTTATAGTCTTTTGACTTTTGAGAGTCTATAAATAGACGCAAAATAAGTTCCTCAAATATTTTTATTGTGTCTCAGAAATGGCTTTTCCCTTTTGTATACTGAGATATTTCAGTATAATATGAATAAATATTATACTACAATGGTTTAAGATAGTTTTTATATATATTTATATGTCCCGGTATGTGTTGAATTAATCTGTACTGATAGTTTGTTTTTCTCTTGTCTATTTTTATGATAAGGTAGAATTGGCCATTTCTGAGACAGCTTTGGTTTTGAAACAGAATGGTGCCTTTGACTGAACGGTACTAACAACATAAGCAAAAATGTGGCTCTGAAAATAACACTGCAGAAATAATACTCTAATTTAATGTACAGTCTATGGCACTTCATGAGAATCCTTAACAACATGGTACTTAAAGCCATTGATGTGCTTTAAAATATACACAGTTGTGGTTTTGCTTGGCACATTCATCTGTCAGATACCTCCCTTACCACTTCTTACAATCTATTACATTAAAAATATTACTCTTAAAACAAAAATTACTGTGCATGCACGCTCTCATCTATAATGGCAATTTTAAATACAAGGTGCACCTTTGTTATTTGTAAACCTTGAAAGAAATAAACTTACTTTAAAAAATTATATCTTGGTCTATAGACGTACCAATACATAATAGATTTATGATTACATCATAGTCTGTCTTTTCAAGATGACATACATGATTATGTAGGAAATAGACTATGTATGCATATTGAAATATATAGGCATACCTCTGTGCTAGAAAAGATAGACAATGTTGTAGATTTAGACAGTAAGATCACCTCAGCACAAATATCAATTAAATGTACAAAGTATATAGGCAACAGTGTGCAGTGGATTTCCAAGTTGTTGTTTCATTTTGTTAACATGCAGTATGTGGATGTCTTACTGCTGAGGGAGTCATGTATGTGGCCTGACGGTATATACATTATGGCTAATGCTCGTGTCCTTTTCGCTATCCAAGCACACTGTCCTTTTCTCTTTAGTATGATCTAGAAAGGGAAGCAGGCAGAAAGAAAATGAATTTAGCAATTTCATTCATTTGGCAAATCAGTCTTAAAATTAAGAGGAAGTTTGCATACAAAAAGACTACAGGATTGTGCTTCAAATAATTTCTTCACAGCAAAGATTTACTTTCTAGACATATTACACATATTATAAATATTGACTATGTTTAATAAAATAGCATCCTGTTGGTCCTGAATTTTATAGCGTCTGCTACGTACAACACCAAGACAACAATTTAAACTAGGATTTCATCACAGAAAGATCGGGGGGAAAATCCGTACAGATAAAGTCGAGTAAAAGTATTTCTTTGTGAAAAAAGTTAAATGATAAAAGTCTGGCATATAATATCTAAGACTGTAGTTCGAGCAAACATATGTAAGTGTAAACTGAGTTTATATTCTCTGCATGACTGCTCTTTGTTATGTAAACTAGGCAAATACAACTTAGATGGGGCTACTATAAGATGGGTGTATAACTGGCTGGATGACTATTCTCAGAGAGGAGTTATTAACGGTTCACAATCCTGCTGGAAAGGTATAACAAGTGGGTTTCCACAGGGGTCTGTTTTGGAACTGGTTCTGTTCAATATCTTCATCAACGATTTAGATATTGGCATAGAGAGTATGCTTATTAAGTTTGCAGATGATACCAAGCTGGGAGCAGTTACAACTGCTTTGGAGGATAGGGTCATAATTCAAAATGATCTGGACACATTGGAGAAATGGTCTGAGGTAAACAGGATGAAGTTTAATAAGGACAAATGCAAAGTGCTCCACTTAGGAAGGAACAATCAGTTTCACACATACAGAATGGGAAACGATTGTCTAGGAAGGAGTACGGCAGAAAGGGATCTAGGAGTTATAGTGGACCACAAACTAAATATGAGTCAACAGTGTGACGCTGTTGCAAAAGAAGCCAACATGATTCTAGGATGCATTAACAGGTATGTTGTCAGCAAGATACAAGAAGTCATTCTTCCGCTCTACTCTGCGTTGATTAGGCCTCAGTTGGAATATTGTGTCCAGTTCTGGGCACCACATTTCAAGAAAGATGTAGAGAAATTGGAGAAGGTCCAGTGAAGAGTAAGAAGAATGATTAAAGGTCTAGAGAACATGACCTGTGAAGGAAGACTGAAAGAAGATTGAGATAGCAGTTTTCAGGTATAAAAAGGGTGTCATAAGGAGCAGGGAGAAAAAATGTTCTTCTTGGCCTCTGAGGATAGGACAAGAAGCAATGGGCTTAAACTGCAGCAAGGGAGGTTTAGGTTGGACATTAGGAAAAACTTCCTAACTGTCAGGGTGGTTAAACACTGGAATAAGCTGCCTAGGGAGGTTGTGGAATCTCCATCTCTGGAGATATTTAAGAATAGGGTATCAGGGATGTTCTAGATTGTACTGGGTCCTGCCATGAGGGCAGGGGGCTGTACTCAATGATCACTCGAGGTCCCTTCCAGTCCTAGTATTCTATGATAAAGTTGGTTGTATACCCCTTATTTACTGGCTGTGTATTAGGGGTCACAGCCTGGGCCCACTGGAGTATATGGAGTAAGCAGGCGTTAGTCTCATTGACTTCATCAGGATCAAGGTAACATTTTCAAAAGTACTTAAACAACCTGGAAGCCAAAGTCCCACTGACTTTTAATCACACTAATACACACAAGTGCCTGGTACTTTGAAAATGGGATTTAGACCAGTAAAGGATTAAGGTCCATTGTAATTCCTGAGAGTTAGGTGCTTGAGGCCGTGAGCCTACATGACTTAGACGCTTCTGAAAATTTGAAACATTTGCTTGAAAGAATAATAAGACTCTTGTAGGATTCCATATATTAAGTCAGTAGTTACACTCTCACCTGAAATAAAGCATTCTGTTTTGGTACCTCATTTTATGAAGGACACACCAGAAACAGAAAACTCCCAAAGAACGGCCATAAAAAGTGGAAACTGAGGAGGGGAAGGTGAAGTTTTGCATAAGGAGAAAATAAAGAGATGATATAACTGGGTGAGAAGACAAGTAAGTGGAAAGAAAGAGTTGGAAATAGCTTTTAATGCAATAATAAATTAGCCTGTAGAAGTCACTGTTGTCAGATAATGCTAAGGCAAATAGCTTAGCGTATTTTTTTTTAAAAGGACTGGACTATGACTACAATAATATTTGCAATCACTCCAGCTAGGATAAAAGTTAGAAGGGGAATCAAGCGCTTTTCTTTCATGATTGATCACCAACTAGTGTCACGAATAAATTCCCTTCTTTGCTGATGAAAATTTACAATGAAGGGGCTATGAAAAACTTTGATAATAATGGGAACTAGATATCTAAATACTACAGAGGATCTTGGCCAAAGTGAATAAGTTTTTTACCGCTTGAACCTGAATAGTAGGCAGTACCTCTGTAGTGGGATAGGACAGTGGTTTTCAAACTACGGGTGGTAACCCACTACTGGGTTGTGGAATGCCAGGCAGTGGCTTTTATTGCTACAGGAGGATCAGGTGATCAGTGGGGGAGCTAAGGCAGGCTACCTGCATGTCTTGGCACCTCACACTGCACTCTGCCCCAGAAGAGGCTGGCAACCGGCCTGGCTCCTAAGTGGTGGCTGGGGAAGAGTGCACAGGTTTCCATACATTGACCCTACCCTGGGCATTAGCTCCATACTCCCACTGGCTGGGAACCTGCTGCTGGCTCCCTCTGTGGCGCAGCATGGTCTGTGGTGCCAGGAGAGGAAGGAAACCTAACTTATCAGACCCGTACACTGCTGACTGGGAGCCCCTCAAGGTAAGCCCCTCCTGCCAAAGCCCTGACATATGGAAGCCGGAGCTCCTTCCTATGCCCCAAAGCTCTCATCCCCAGTCCTACTGCAGAGCACACATTATAGTCAAATTACATTGGACTGCAGGGATCAATAATTTTCTTCCACTTGGTCATGAGAAAAAAAAGTTTTAAAAACCACTGGGATAAGGGGTGGGAATTAAGCTGTATATTAATATTGCACCAGTTATTAAGCTAGCCTAATATATTGGATAAGTTACTATATCAAACCGAAACAAAAATGAACAGCCCAAATCATAAGTTTAAACTGGAATTTCATCACAGAAAGATCACAGTGGAAAATCTTTTCAGGGGAAGTCAAGTAAAAGTCTTTTTTTGTGAAAAAAAGATTAAATTATAAAAAAATCTGACTTATAATATCTGGGGCTGTAGTTAAAGCCAAACATATGCTAGTGTAAACTGATCTTATATTCTCAGCCTGACCTCTCTCTACTATGCAATCTATGTCACAAAAATACCACACATAATTTATCATAATTTGACAGTCTGCGCTGAAAAGAAGCCACAGGCTGAGTTCAACTAATGATTAAATCCTCATTCTCAATTACAGAGGCTGGCTTAGCAGACATTGATTTAATAGGTCTTTCAAATGTAACTCTCAGTAAAGCTTCTTGTCCCACATATTGCTCATTGTTCAGTACAGCTAGTGCTGCCTCTGTCCAGTACCAAACAAAAGCCAGATTATTGTTTAATAAACTCTAAGGGTGTTAAAAGTCAGTTAAATAAGTAACCATGTAACTACTGAAAAACTCAGCGACTACATCAGGGGTGGGCAAAAGGGCTTTCGCAGGCCGCATCCAGCCCACCAAGCAGGTGGATCTGGCCTGCAGAGGACCTGCTGCTCCTCCACCCCCTCCCCAGCCAATTAGGGCCTGGGGGTGGGGGAGCGCGTGAAGCCTCCTCCTGCCCTGCTAGGAGCATGTGGCACTTTGAAGCGCAGCGCACTGCTCGCAGGGTGGGAAGATGGGGGAGGGATGAGAGTGGAGGAGGTTTTGTGTGCTCCCTTGCCCCCAGGTCAATCAGGGCCTGGGAGCTGTGTGAAGCTTTCTTCACCCGGCCCCAGCCCTGCGAGTAGCCCGAGGCACTTCCAAGTGCCACATGCTTCTCGCAGGGCAGGAGAAGGCTTCCCACGCTCTCCCGCCTCCAGACCCTGATTGGCCTGGGAGTGGGGGAGCATGCCAAGCCTCTTCGAGGGCATGGGTGCCTAGTGGGAAAGGGGAGGGGGCTAAGGGGCTCCCCCACCCCAGTGCAGTCATGGTCTAGGGGTGGTGTGGCCCCACCCCTTCCTGTTTAGGCCCTGCCCTTTCCGGGATGGCCCGGGGCTACTTCAAAAAATTTTGAAATGGTCCCCGGGCAAAAATTATTGCCCACCCCGGACTCCATGGTGATAAGCTGAAGGCTTATATAAGCTTCAAAGCCTCCCCAGGAGCTGGCAGTCCTTGCCCCACCTGGCTCCCAGGGAGGAGGCTTTGCTGCTCTTCTACAGCAAAGCTGCCTCCCCAGAAACCAGCGATTGCAACTGACACCATTAACCAATAAACATCAGTTTCTCAGTTACATTGTGAGTTGGTTACACTCTAACATCGCTAATAAAACTCTGGTTTTATTGAGAGTTCATTCCTAAATAATGCTAGATATGCCTGATCCCAGGGTTACTTTCCTCAGCAGGGCAGCAAGATGGCACTAGAAGCTGAAGCCCACTGTAATAAGGCGGCAGAACACTTAATGTACTTAAATTACCCTGTTAGGAGGTGCTGAAACCTTACACAGAGCTGCAGGTCAATTACTATTAACTCATCCTGGTAGATGTGGCTTATTAGATCCCTACTGCCTATACCCACCACAAAGAGTCAACAGTAATTAATGTGGCACTTCCAGTTCCAGCTAGCAAAGGGGGTGCATTAGAGCAAATACTGCTGCCCCATGACAGTGCACGAGTGCTAACAACCTGGGGCCTCCCGGCCTCAAAAGGTCTTTTGTGTACTTGGGACATGAAAAACATTAATTTAAAGTTGATACAGTAACTGCATCTTTTGGAAGGGACAAACACAGGGCAATTACAAAGAAACTGAGTTTCCCTGAGCCTTCTGAAAATGGGGGGCTGATGTTTCAAGAAGCAGATCAAACAGCTAAGGGTGAAATGCAGACAGCTGGAAGCAAGGTGCCCAATGGTTGAAGTCTACAGGTGGACTGGCTGCTCAAGATGTTCTCCTAGCCATTCATCATTATGGAAAGAGTCTTTGCACTCCAAACAAGCTAGCATAAAGGGTATGGTTACAGGTGGGATGGGGAAGAGATTATTTTTTGGTCATGTATTTTCATGTAGTATCACATGCACAAGTAAAGTGTGGGACACGCTGGTGATGAATGTAGATTACAGGCTACTGAGTAGCTTCTGTGCAGAATCTGTGAGATCTGTTTCTGGGAAGAGGGGAGTTCAGCTTTCTGGCTGTTTGATCCTTGGCCTCTTCTGAGAGCGTCAGCAAAGGCCAAATGTGGCAGCCTACTGATGTTGTTGACTAAGTTGACTGAACCAACCAATTCACTTCATGCACACTCCTCTGTTTCTGTAATATCTTTTAAAGATCATTTCTATATGAACACTGTGACTGATATGTGTCAGAAGTTGGGTAGTATCAACAAAATCCATATAAATTCTTTCATCGCATTTCCCCATACTTTTAATTTTGAAAACATCAACTACACGTCCTTAAAAAAGAAAAGTTAGGCACATGCACAGAGTGTGAAAACTATGCAAGCAATACATTGACAACTTACTGTTTGATGAGAAAATGTCTACATCTGTGTAACATACTTGTGGCTAGTCAGATGTTCGGCAGATATTATGGGTATCTATAGGTAAAAATGTAAAAAATGAATAACATGTGCAACAAATCAATGAAAAGATAGAACATTTAATTAAAAAGAACATAATGGCTCAGAAAAGGGGGGAGCAGCTGTGAGGTGGTGGACTTTATACTATAAGTTAAAGTACGCTAAAGTAGCAACTTAAAACTGAAAAACATTACGGTAAGTACTGTTTGGCCAATGTAAATAAGTATTATTGTTTGTTTAGAAAGTAAGAGATGTTAAAATCTACAAAAGTTCATGCAATGCAGTAATTGAAAGGAGCCCTTTTTGTTGGCCTACACAAAATTCTGTAATTTCACTTAATTATTTGAAAAAATAAATTTTAGTTAAAGTCAGCCAAATTTTCCACCCAGATCATTAACTTTCAGAGTCTCCATTATTGGGTGCCAAAGCTAAAATGCCTTGTACACTGTTTTCACAGTGGGCGAAGACCCACAGCTGAGCTGAGGGTCCTCATCCCCTATAAAAATCTGGTACAAGGTGCCAAAGTGCTCACAATAAAGGAAAGCACCCCAAACCAGTGAATAAGTCTCAAACTCAAAACCAAACTCAAAATACTAGCCTTTGCAAACAGAATGTGTTTGGCTCCTAAGATTTATCAACTCATCTCCATAGTATTTTTTAAAATTAATATCACAAGATAATATTTAGAAGTAGCAAGGAAGCACACAGGACAACCACCTCTCTAGAGCCCAATCCTGCATGCCTGCCAATGGGTGGAACATAGATTGAAGTCAGTGGCAGTGCATGTACACAGGCCTTGCAGAATTTGGCTCTCAATGAGGGAAAACAATATTGTGTTTACAGTGAACTACAAATGTTAAAGGAATTGTACATAATCTTGCATCACAAAACAGGACAGGACATGGAAAGAGGTATTTATGAACAGAAAAACAAGCCCTGAAATATGATGTGATGCTGATTTTTTTCAAGGTTAACAGCTATTTACAGTCATACAAGTTATAGTTTCCATCAGCTAATAATTTTGACATATAAACCCACAAAAGAAAGGGAGGGTGGAAATAATGTTTTGAAATTGAATGGTTTTAGTGTTTGGGATTTTTTTCCACCTCTAATGCCCTCTCTTTACCTGTCATCTTTATACAGTTTTATAGCATTGCCAACTTGCACAGAAATGTGCTTCAAGCATAATGAAGCTTCTCATACCATTTTGTTTACTGCTGCAGGAGAAGATGTTGCACCCAACTGTGTAGAAGCATCAGGGATAGTGCTGTCGAAACATACCAAGGACCTTCAACACCAGTCAATGTAGATGAGGGCCAGATCTTAAGACCTTTCGCATGCATGCGCATTGCACTGCGTGGCATTAAACAATTTCAGCATTGCTTACATACTATATACATATATTAATTATATATGTATATGTTGAGGTTTGGCTGCAATACTTTGCTGAAGTGTGTTATGAGAGTCCAGGGAGAAGATGCATGAAATGGTCAGATTCTACAACAGAAAGTTTCCCTATACTCTCCTTGGGCAAGTGCTTGGCACCTCACATTGAGAGCAATCATATTTTCTGGTTCTCCTTGCTCAAGCAATTCTCAGGGGTATGCAGGCTATACAATCAAAGTGATCTGAATTGTACAGTAAATAACTCATGCTATTAAGATACATCTGACATACAACAGATGTATGTAGCTGATGCTTATTTACAAGAATGATGCTTGAGTATTCCTGGATATTAAATTATTCTTATTCTGGGTTAAATCTATGAGAGACTTAGTTACTCACTGGAAACCAATAATTAAGCCTTTTATTTTCTCTAGCACAAAGAGGTATGTGGTGAAATATTACATTCAGCTTCTTTGAAGACTGACCAGATTATCGTTTGGGCTTTTTATATATCTAATTAATACATCATTATACCATTATGATTTTTAGGCTCGATGGCTGTCCCAATTACTGTATATACAAACAAAGAACTAACAGTTGGCTTAGTAAAAAAAGGTGATGCAAGCAATGATGGACATATTCAAAGTCAAATACTAAGGTTCTGGGTCTGGCCACATAAAAGACTCAGAGCTCTCAACCCTCAGTGAAAATGTACAGAACTCAACACTTTGCTACAGCAACAGGCTATTAACTTCTGGAATTAGTGTCCTACTTTATAAGTGTAGTTGCCTCTGAGTGCAGGCGCATTAGATTTCAGGTACAAGTATAACTGCTCATAGAGCTACCTGATTGGATTTTTAAAAAGTGCTCAGAGTTTAATGGAAGCAGAGTTAGGTCAAAGGTAAGCACTTTTTAAACTCCTGGCCTTAAAGACTATCACAATACCCCTGCAATTAATTGTGAATGCAAAATATCCCCTGCAACATTGGATACTTAGTTAAGGACATTTTTGAAAATCAAATAACCTCCTCTAACCTCTCCCTCTGGATCTCCCAGAGAATTGATAGCGAGCACTACTTGCATCTTAGCAGAGAATTTGGGGCTATGTTTTTAGCACAATGATAATATGCAGGAATTCTAAATTTCTAATATGGGTTTTAAAATTTATTTCTGGGATTTAAATAAAAGAGAAAGGAAATGGTCTTTAGAATGCTTTTATTCTTTTACGTTTAATGTTCAAACTATGGTGTAATATAAAATGACTGAATTTTAAACAATCTCTTGAGTTAAAACACTGGACCAAATTTCATCCTCATTTGTGTAAGTGCAGTTTCCATTGGAATAAATTGGAGATACACCCATGAAAACGTGGCTCCCAACATTTATCTTAACGGCACTGTTTGTTTGTGGCAGTGGAAGGAGAAGTTTAATTTATGGCTTAGCTGGTTAAGCATTTGTATTTTATACTCAGATGCAACAACATTCATGGCTGTAGTTTAGAAAGTTTAATCAGGTTTTTAATGGACATTCAATTAGTTAAAGTGTGTCCATTATAAAATTAATAAAGCCTCTTCTAACTAATACACAAGTTGAGACAACAATTTACAAGTATGCCCTGGGTGGCCTAAACACAAATGCTTTTGTTTTGCTTTGGAAGAGGTTCAGAACATATCAGACTCTTAAATTCCTTATCCTATTATCTCTCCACACACAGCTCCCACTGGCTTTGACCAGAGATTTGCATACAAAAGAACTATAGGTTTTATGTGCACAGAAAAATTGGATTCTGTGTCTGGTTCCTCTCTTTTTAGATCTATGAAAAGAAAAATAAGCAGCAAGGCCTAGGAAAAGTAAGCCTCATGTAAAATATTTTTAGCATCAGAAACAGAGCTGTTGCACCTTTCAAGCATGGACTAAGCTATGCTGCAAGCTCTTAGAGAGAATGTGTAGGCCAACAAGAAGTAAAATCAAAACCCCCATGCTCATTAAAAGCACCAATTTCAAGTTGTTTTTAAGGAACAAAGCTGTAAATTAGCAAACCTGGTTGGCTGTGGCTGTTGCAGCGAAGGGGACACTTGTGGCAGATGTTGTTGCCGCAGACACAGTGGCTGGCGTAGCACCGTGCACCATGGGAACTTTCGGAAGGAAAATCATATAAGCCAACATACAGAAGAGTGTAGCAGTATGGGAACCATGGCAACATGTGATAGAATAATTGAGCATGGTATTTATCATAGCAATAAGCCATGTGACGAGACATCATTGCCAGCGAGTGACATGCAATCACAGTGCAAAGCAGGACAACATTCCAGGGAGAAGGGGAGAAAAGGAAATGAAAGAGGGGAAAAAAGGGAAAAATGCTTGTTAACATCAAATCAAGAAAATGAACACAAACAAGTTCAATTGCTTCAATACTAAATCAACAAAAGGATTTTTAAAAGGCCCTATGTTTACATTTTTATGTCTAAGCAAAAATACAAACAAAAAATCCAACCCAAGTATCTATCACACAATAAATTAATTAGTTTTAATGAAAGAATATTTATATATAACTATAGTAAGATACAGTATGTTACTTAATACAACACAGTGTCTAAACACAAACTCATAGTCCAATCAAAATCCACCAAGGAAAAAATGTGCAATTCAGAACACTACTATCCAACTTCTAGGTGTCTATGTCAATTAAATAAAATAACTGCATTTAATTGACAGTTGTTAGTGTAGAGGGTGTGGGGAGGGGGAGGTGAACTGGCACCAGAGCTGCAAGTTAAAACCTAACAGTGGATTTTGAGGGTCTGTGAGATGCACCACAGGTTTAAGATAATCAAGAAACAAAGCTGGCACCTACCAACACTTGTAGCGGGTGTCATGCACAATATTGAGCCTGCCCATCATGCATTGCAACAGGAAGGTGGATTTGAAAAGGGAAAAGAATTAAAACAACCCATCACACGTGTAATTAGAAAAATTTCATTTGAACAAAGAAGAAAAATTGTTATTATGGGAACAGTGGCATGTAACTGTCAGCACAATCAAATCACACAATAGCATAGTGATCAATTAGAACTAGTCTTAAGTGAAGAAAAAGCTGAACTGTGTGCTGGTACATTTTGTTTGCCTTTATTTCTGTATAGTTTCAGTTGTCTTTAAAACTTACTAGAAAAAGTCTCAAGGCTTATTTCAAAATTCAGTTTTTATCAGATTCATTTTTTATCTTTATGACAATCGGTTAGCATAAAAATAAACATGTATTTCTTTTTTAACTGCATTTTATTATGATTAAAGGAAAAGATCAAACATGTTGTTTATCTTTAACACCCTTAGGGGGAGCCAACACCCAAAATTATGTTAATCCTAACACTGAGATTATATGGAGATATGTACAATAATAAAGAATGAATGAGTGGGATTGTTTTACACATTCTTCAACCTATATGCGCAAGGGACCCTCCACACTGAGTTCTCCCTGCCTAAGCTCCTCAATTTCTGATGCTGCTGAGGACGGAAGTGGCGTGTGCAGGTTGAGAATTGGAGCAGCCTAAGGGACATGTTGTCCCCTTCTTCGTTCAGCAATAAAAACAATACAACCTAGGGCTGTGCTCTTTTATCTGCAGTGGTCCCAGGAGGGACTCCAAGAAGATCTCACCAAAATGAGTGATTGGACAACAAAATGGCAAATGAAATTTAATGTGGATAAGTGTAAAGTAATGCACATCGGGAAAAATAACCCCAACTATACGTACAGTATGATGGGGGCTAATTTGGCTACGACAAACCAGGAAAAAGATCTCATCAAACTGAGTGATTGGGCAACAAAATGACAAATGAAATTTAATGTGGATAAGTGTAAAGTAATGCACATCGGGAAAAATAACCCCAACTATACGTACAGTATGATGGGGGCTAATTTGGCTACGACAAATCAGGAAAGAGATCTTGGAGTTATCGTGGACAATTCTCTGAAAACTTCCACACAGTGTGCAGCGGCAGTCAAAAAGGCAAATAGGATGCTAGGAATTATTAAGAAAGGGATAGAAAATAAGACCCAGAACATCTTACTGCCCCTGTATAAAACTATGGTACGCCCACATCTTGAATACTGTGTACAGATGTGGTCTCCTCACCTCAAAAAAGATATTTTGGCCTTGGAAAGGGTTCAGAAAAGGGCAACTAAAATGATTAGGGATTTGGAACGGGTCCCATATGAGGAGAGGCTAAAGAGACTGGGACTTTTCAGTTTAGAAAAGAGGAGACTGAGGGGGGATATGATAGAGGTCTATAAAATCATGAGTGGTGTGGAGAGGGCTGATAAAGAAAAGTTATTTATTAGTTCCCATAATAGAAGAACTAGAGGACACCAAATGAAATTAATGGGTAGCAGGTTTAAAACTAATAAAAGAAAGTTCTTCACACAGCGTGTAGTCAACCTGTGGAACTCCTTGCCAGAGGAGGCTGTGAAGGCTAGGACTATAATACAGTTTAAAGAGAAGCTAGATAATTTCATGGAGGTTAGGTCCATAAAAGGCTATTAGCTAGGGGATAAAATGGTGTCCTTAGCCTCTGTTTGTCAGAGGCTGGAGAGGGATGGCAGGAGACAAATTGCTTGATCATTATCTTCGGTCCACCCTCTCTGGGGCACCTGGTGCTGGCCACTGTCGGTAGATAGGATACTGGGCTAGATGGACCTTTGGTCTGACCCAGTACGGCCGTTCTTATGTTCTTATGTAAGGAATGGTTTGAATAAAGTCCTGTGTGTTTTAATTGTCCAACCCCACTAAATGAATCTCATGGGTCTTGGTAATATATAGTTGTTAGGGCTAAGGTTGTGAGACAAAATAATTTCTCAGTTCACTGGCTGCTCCAAAAAATAATTTAAAACATTTTTATTTTTGGTCCAATAAAATGTTTTGTTTGAACTGAAGCATTTTGTTTTGATTTTGAGCTTTAAAACAAACATTTTGATTTTTTTTAAACAACTGAAACAATTTGGCAAATCAACCCAAATTCACAAAATTATTTGGTCAGCCTGAATCTGCAATTTTTGCTAATTTTTTGGCCAGCTGTAGTAAGTGTAGTGATGATTTTGCACACAATATTATTGAAAATATGTAGACATTGTGGGATAAACTGAAGATGAAATGTCAACTTTTACTTTCATTTTCCTCCCAAAATAACTATTTTGTATTTTAAATGCAAGATAAAGTGCAGGCCTCCCACACAGTCCTAGGCACACTTGGCTGGAATTGTTTCTAGACTGCAGGACATACTTTAATTGGTCATATGTTGTTGGGTCTGTGGGCCTTTCCAAAACATCAACAATACTTAGATAACTGTTCAGTTGAGAGAGATAATCTTGTAGCCTGCCACTCACTTTGTGTTAATCAATAATCAATTAATTCTCCAAAGAGACATCAATGTCAATATAAGTACTGCATTTTTAGGCATGCCCAACTGCCAATTTTCAAATTCCACTACTTTGGCAATCTCATTTATTTGCTAAATGCCTTGCTCTATATTGAGAACTCAGGATTTGCATTATTTTTGTTTCTTATCCAAAACTTAAAAATGAACCATTATAAACAAAGGGCCCAATTCTTCATGTTCCAACATACTGAATGTTTTTTGAAAAATATTTGCTTCCCTATTTAACCATATTGTTAGATAAATTTACTCTGATATTAAAATAATGAAATCCTGAAAATGGGGATCATATGAAAACAGAAACAGACTATGAATAAAACTGTCTGTCTGTGGTAGCTACTGCTATATGTTTGCCTTAGTGAGACAAGGTGGGTAAAGTAATATCTTTTTATTGGACCAAATACTGTGAGTGAAAGAGAGGCTTTCGAGCCTCTATGAGACAGACCTCTTCTTCAGTTCTATGTACGCTCAAAAACTTCTCTCTCTCACCAGCAGAAGTTGGTTCAATAAAGTATATTACCTCACCCAATTTGTGTGTCTCATATCCTGGGACCAACATGGCTACAATACCTCAGTATACTATTGTCTTGACACAATATGGCAACAACAAAAATAAATTACTGTGCTTGGATGGTGATACATGTTATCCTCTTAGCTTGTGGTAGGTGGTATATAAATTTATAAGACATCTAGCTTTGCCCAAGCCCAAAGCCATTACCTTGTGGAGAAAAAAAAATCCCAGTAATGAATATAATTAATGTTGGGGATATCATGGATGTTAATGCCTGTTATTATTAGAAGATATATTTAAGGCTATTGGGGAAAACTGCATCATTAATCTTTCTGATTACTTTACTGTATTACACAAAAAACAATGTATATATTCATGAAATATGTTTTAAAGGAGGGTATTTAAAGGAAAAGGCCTTATCATGCTTGTTTTACTCACATGTCATTTGTTACTGAAGTCAATGAGACTGCTTGTGTGAGAGAGTATGTGGCCCAAGATTTGGCCCTGAACTACAAACTGTGCACCAAAAACTTTGCTCTCAATTATACCCATACATACTCCATGATGTCAATCAGGTTGCATGAGTATAACTGAGAGCTATGACACCCTATGTTATTCAACACATACAAATGCCCTATTTATCATGTTTTACATATTTTATTACACCTAGCAAATTATGTCATTCCATGCATAATTAAATCTACATGCTGAAAATAAGAGTTAGCTTTCTGTAACGATTCCCTGAAAAATAACCGTAAAGCTTTCAGCTTAAATTTTAGTTTGAGTTATCATCATCATCAATGTTATAACCAGTACACACAGTTTTGAGAGGGATTTGCAGCAAATGAACATAAGCCAGCAATGAAAATACTAGCTAGGGTGCAATAACTTGCAAATATGAAGACATAATGCAGTAGGACCCACTTGCCAATAATAAAAATCACTGTTACTATTATCTTAATATTTATCTTGACTTCAAAAGCTTTGATTTACTAATACGAATGTATGAACACTGTATTTGCTAGTTCAAATGTTCCCTGACTTTTCAGCACCAGACATCATTTGATTTCTAGCATGTGCTAATTTAACTGATTATAATTTTTCAGATACATTGTTTCCAGACTGAATATAGTAATTCATGAATACTCTGTTTTCACTGGGATTTTAAGCAGTTCCTTTTCTATTTCCTACTCCTGATTTCCTATTTTACTCAGTTTTTTATTCAATTAAATCTCGAAAGCACCATACAGATCAGATTATCAGTACAGAACACAAATGCTTCAATCTTCATGAAGAATCAGTGTTATGAAGCCTGATCCTACTCCCATTAACTTTTCAAAGGGAGCAAAAATTACTCCCCAGAGCCAGAGGTCCCAATTAAGGAAAATGCTAAATAATGTGTCTGAATCCATCTCTAGTTAGGAAAGCACTTAGGGCTGGATGCTGCTTTCACTGAAGTCAGAGGCAAAACTCCCATTGTTCAGAGTGGGTTTAAAGGATCAGCCTTTTAAACACATACTTTTTAATGGTGTTTATTTATCTAATTCAGCTAGGCACCTAGTGGCATTTTCCACACACACTTTGGCATCTAATTGCCATTCATTTCAAGGAGACTAACACAGCTAGGAGCTTTTGAATACCTGACAGGGTGTCTCACTTAGCTTCAAGTCCCTACATTATTTTCTGGCCCTTTATGTTTTCCTAATTGGGAGCCTAGTTTGAAACTTTATACACTGATCTAATGTCATGTCTAAGATGCAGTAATCCAAATTGAGCTGGTTAAATGTTACCAATGTAAGTACCAGTGGTGCAGTGCACCCACAGTGGATGTAGCAGACTCATGATCTGACTTGCTAAAGTTTTGTCCCACATCTATACTAGAGCTGTTTCAGATGAAATGCCCTCTGAGTACTTATCCCACAGCTCCTGAGGAAGCTTCTGAAAGCAGTGGATACTGGAAGACTACAAAGGGCCAGAGGTGCACAGCAGAACAATCTAAACCATTTCAATGTGAAGTATTTTAAGTCCAGATCCTCAGAGATTTCCGTGTCTAACTCATTGAAATCAGACACCTGTGCCAGTTAGGAGTTGTGTCTTAGTTGTGGTATTTTCATTTTTCTACTTTTTCTGACATGTCACCACACCCTGTAATTATGGAAAGGCTCCCTCCCTGCCAACACTTCACCTGCACTGACATTATGACAGATGAAGTCTGGCCTATTGCACTTTAGAAGAAATAGCTACAGATTAAGGACTAGACTGTGAGTTGCTTTGTGCCTAAGTGAGAGAGAGAGAGAGAGAGAGCATCCGGAGCATTCACCTCCTTGTTCTTTTAATGGGGAGCATTACCACTGCTCCTCATTAATATTACTGCTGGCTACTCCTGAGAAAAGCCAGGAGAGCAATGAAACATGTTCCCATCCTTCACACTGGCTGGGCCTGAAGGAAAGCATGCATTGCACCTGTTTAAAGGGTGGCAGAGCTGCCACTTTGATGGGCACTTTTCAAAGCCCATGAAGGTAGGGATAGTCATCGGTGTGAGACACAAGGTAGTATGCTAAAATGCACTGATAAAAACCCCAAAAGACTTGGTCACACTGGGGTCTGAGTGCAGCTGTAGCCATGGATGACAAGGTTCAGAGGCACCGGGACATTTACCTACTACATGTCCCCTTTTATTCCTCCGTGAGCCATTTCATGCAAGGTAGTCAGAATCTGAGCTCTAGAATGAGGAGGTATGTTTGAAACACAAACCCAACATCATTGCCAAACATGAAATTCAGCCCAAATCAGAGGATCCATGTAAGGTCCTGCTGACTACATACATCCTTGAGGCACAAGTCCTGTGGAAAGTGTTGTCCTCTGGTGAATTTCATCAAGAAAAGTCAGTTATTACTCTTTGGGGGCCTAATCCTGAATGGGGCTGAGCTCCCTTGGCTCCCATTAAAGGGTTTAATCATGAAACGTGGCATGTACCTGTTGGGAGTTGCCAGACACCCTGAGCTCCATGTAAAGTCAAGACGACAGAACTGAGGACACCCAATCTCTCTCAGGACTGGGACTGCTGTGTGAGCCTCCTAAAAATATAGTGTAGGTTCCATTCCTGGCGCCATTGGAAATCAATTGAAAAAATACTACTTCCACAGCTGTGCTGACCTCACTAATGATAATGATGCACAAGCAAGAATTAAACTAATTTTAGGGGCCACAAAGAGAAGTGAAAAGTGTTATTTTAGTTGAAAGTAATGTTGTTTTAAAGTTTCTGTGACAGCATTAGAGCAATGGCAAACTAGTCTGCCCCTTAACAGTGATTTTTAATAAAGAAATGAAAAACAGAATTGGTTCAATGGTCTGTATTGGCTAAATCCTGAAACCGCTAGCCTGTTCCCTCTGAATTCAGCCTCCAGAATCCCAGTGGCATTTCAGTAAGTCCTGAAGTTCTTCTTTATGCCAAATGCCCACTGACTTCAGTATGAAGTTGCCTGAGTAAGGACCAAGAAAGGCCCACAGAATTATTGATTATTCCCTGTCAGTTATGTGATGCAAATGCAGTTCTATTTATACAAATAGTATAAATGATCTTCACAGTAATGGGCCTGATTCTAAGGGGCCTGAAATGTACCAAACCCCTACTGATTTTAAGGGATGCTGAGGTGCTCCTTAACAGAGATGCATAGCACCAACCAAGATTTAGGGAATTTCTAAAATATGTGAAGCCTGCAGGATGGACTGTGATTGTCTACTATGTAAATACATGTAAATACATGCTAAGAGACATTTATGTCCCTTAAATATGTGTATGAGAGGCCTGATCCAAAGACCACTGGAATCAATGAGTGTCTTTCTATTTACTTCAATGGGCTTTCAATCAGACCCTAGTTGCCCAATGAGCTTCAGTGGGTCCAGAGAAGACACACCTCATGTCCAGCAACTGTTCTAAATGTGTAGATTACATGTATACTTTGTTGACTGAATGAGAGACCACACCACCAAAAGCAGAAGTGAATCATGTTTATGTGGCAGAAACATGTCAAAAATGGTTAGAAAATATTTTTTCCATTTCTGATTGCCAGTGGTCTCATTTCTAAAAAAAGGTCCACTCTTTAGAGTTAAAAGTTGCCTTTCCCACTTTCACTAAAACCACGTATAACAGAGTTTTAAATAAACTGAAAATATGGATTTTATGAAGCAAGTAGTGACACAAACTTTTTATAGACCCAATCCTGCAACAAAAAAAATGACTTCAGCAAGATTTTTTTAGAAGTAACAAGTACAGATTTGGGTTCTGCAACAATCATATTAAATTGTTAAGGATCATTGCATTATTCTTGATGAAAAACAACTGGGGGGAGGTCTATCATGCTCACGTTAAAATTAATAGAAAAATTTTGGTGACTGATCCCGATTTTTTTTTTTTTACAAGTGCACTCTCAAAGTGCTTCCATATTTGCCTTACGCTGGGAATGAGGGACAAGGGATGGATCACTTGACAATTACTGGTGTTCATTTCTTCTGGGGCACCTGGTATTGGTTATGGTCAGAAGACAGAATACTGGACTAGTAGATGGAGCTTTCTTTTGACCTAGAAGGTCTATTCTTATGTTCTTATATTAGCTAAGCTATAATGCTATCTAATTATTCATTTCATGATTACTAAGTAAAATTCAAAACCTCACCCTTCATAAAAATGATATGTTTCACAAGTTAAGGCAAAGAGGGTCTTACCGCAAAAAGGAGTAATACAAAACAGCTCAAAAGATGTATAATAAAGTATTAATTAGGAAAAAAGAGAAAGAAGAGAACAGATTTCAGTCTGTTTTGAAATGACAGAATATGTTCTTCCAAAACATTGATTTTCATTAGAGTGAAGAACATCTACCCAGCTTCCAAGACAAGCATACATAGAAACAGCATTCGACAGGATCCCTACCTGATCATGAATATCTTAATTCCTAGACTTCCTATCCTCAGTCTATTCTAACAGCATCCTACTGTAACTGAGCTTATATCAATGACTATCAATACAGATTTATTCTAAACGTTGGACACTAATTTCGTGGCATACTTTGCTCTACAAAAACTAAAGAGATACTTACCTGGTGGAAGGAAGGCTGTATGCTGTTGTAACTGCATGTTGGCAAGAGCTTGTTGGTACTGGAAAATACCAGTATTAAAGACTGCGGTGGCACCATTGGTTTTTTCAAGCGCAGGCCTCTTTGGTAATGGGGGAAGTACAGCTTGAGGAATTCCCTGAACAGTGAATGAGTATAAAAAAATAAAGTCCAGTCCAAAAGAAAAAAAGAAAGAAAAAAGAAAAAGAAAAATCAGTAGAAGGCAAAAAAGCATCAGGCAGCACCATGTTTATCCATGAGCAAGCAAGCACCAGAGCAGACTTAACTACCAAGTAAAAAGGCAAGGTGACAGCTTTAAAAGGAAGCATTACTTTAGTGTGACAATAAAGTAATATAAGTAAATATGTTGGAGCTCAAAGTTATGATAAGGTGCTAAAATATTATATAAAGCTTTGGGTTTTCAGTAAGAAGCAACAATATTGGAGGAGGGGGGAAAAGCTGCACTGCTAGCTCCATGAGGATTGACAAATAAAAGCAATGTTAATAGTAATCTTACAGAGTGAATGAAACAGATAGGATAATATTAAAAAATATACCCACAGTTCCCAAAGTCTAACTAGACATGCAAAAATGTACCAAAGCATGCTGGTACTTGAACATTGCATTACAAATGTTAAATCTACATAAGAATATCACTAAGCCATGCCAAGCAAACAGATACACAAATACATAGTAATAAATACAATTTTAATGTCCTCAAAGTACTTCATTTACAACATTCTAAAAGGTGGTTAAAACTGAATGTGGGCTGCTGCACTTTAGGAACATTTGTTTGGCATATACATTTATGTATATATTGCATTCTTTCCCACTAATCGGAACAGGAAACCACACTCAGTTTTCCATTGTATTTCAATACTTTACAAATTAATAAAAAAAACTTGTATCTACAATAAAGCTACATGCCAAGCTAAAAGGTGAAAGGTCATAGTACCAGGTCAAAGGTTGCCTCGAGGGGTCGCTTCAGTGATTTGACAGCCGACTGAGTCTTAATTAGCAGGCAGCGAGCACATGATGGCAATGGGCCAGTGGGGTTCAAGCGCATTAACATAAACAGCAAGCAGAGGTGCATCATGGGGGCAGCAGTGCATTTTTGGGTAGGTGAGAAAAAACAAATAAAAAACAAATCATCGGAATGCCATATACAACAAATAACAAGACTAAGCATGCACAATAAAGGCACTACTGAGTTGTTATTGTGAGGATTCAACCTCTATGTAGTTAATTACAAACAAGATAATCTAACAGAAAAGAGTGAAAGAAGGAGAGAGAAAGAGAATCTGCCTTCTGTATTTTTGCTCAAGTATCCATAAACAAACAGAAAAAAGGCCTCTCTCATGTTTATTGTACTATGCTAGGGACATCAAACCATGATGTAGTATTTTAATGGTCAAATCATGTAGTTATATAAAAATATAGGACAACATTAACAGCTAAGCAAAGAACAAAAACTGGATCCATTTAAATCAGTTTTAGATCACATTAAAATTTAGCATAAGCAAATAGCCTGTTTGTACTAATTTATATCATCTTCAAATGTACTGTAGTTTTCCTACTTCCTTTAACTGCAATATTCAAGCATCGCTAGCTGTGCAATTATTCATCATACTGTAATATTTAAGATGAACAAACCAATTAAATTTCCCTCAAATAATGTTACAGTCTATTTGCTTGAAAACCTACTTTTAAGTAGTTTCAGATCATGTTTTTTAAATTAAATAATTTTTAAGCATTTGCTGTTGGTACAAAAAAAACCCCACACATAGATTAAAGAAGAGGAAAATGAAGTTTAGTGTAGAAACAGGAATACCAGTAATGGTAATTTAGATGGATATACTTAAAGACAGAAATAATGATACCTGCAAATACAGATTTATAGCAACACATACACACACTATCTATATATAGATAGATACATATATTAGGTCTACATATAAGTAGACACATGTATGTGTACTCACACACTCACACACATCCTTGTATATGCCAGCTCCCAAAAATTAGTGACATATTTTAAGTCTGAAACTATTTAAGAGTAGATATGGCATCACATGCTGTGAAAGTTTATTACACTGTGTAGTGACTGGGATACCTGAACAAACATATCTTCAGCAAGAATAGTTAATGAATTAATCCTTTTCTAGCATCAAAATTATATTTGGAAATTGATTTGGAACTCACCATGGCAGCTGCAGTAGCTGCTGCTTGGGCAGCTGCAGCTTGGTTAACCTGGTACTGGGCAGCCTTGATCTTGGCTTGCAGATGTGCAGGAGGGTGAAAATATTTGCACTTTTCCCGTGAGCACCTTCCTTTGATGTAATCCATGCAGACAGTCACCGTGTTGTCATTGGTATCAATCATTGCACTGTCAGCAGGATGAGCAAACCGGCAATCATTTTCTCCTCTGTTACAATTGCCACGCTGGTACTCTCGACATACCTGCATCATCATCAAATGAAAATTAGTGAATGTGCCTGGATATCACATGACACTGCTGACTTGAGAAAAGTGATCACAGAAAAGGTGTAAAAATAGTCAGCATTTTTAGGGAACTCTTTCAAAAACAAATTAAAATCTTAGTAGTGCAAAGGGGCCTGTAAGTTTGGCATCTTGAATTCATGTTAGAGGTTCCTTACACTGCTTCTGGGGTAAAAAAGAACTCAAGTAAAGGTGAATCAGCCCCAGAGAACCCAAATCAACTGATTTCTACTACTGGTTACATTTGGTCCAGTTATGAAGGTGCACTGATTTTGAAAAAAATGTGTTTGCAATGTTCATGTTGAATGATAATTGCAACAATAAGCCAAGGTCAAAGCTAACAGTGTAACATACATTTCTAAAGTACATTGCTAAGAATTGTTTTATTAAAATAAGTATGTACAATTATTGTCAAAATAAACTTCCTAATCCTTTGAGATCAATTCCATAAGCTACCTATTTGACTTCAGTGCATTGTATAGTATTACTTTATGATTCTCCTGTATTTATATTGAGGTATGTCAGCAACAGGATCAATAGAAATACAGCACTCAGATATATTCCATCCTTTTACCACAAGAGGGCAACTCAAAACACACAATGACCTATAGTTCGTTTTTTCTGAACCTTCCTCATAACAGGTCTAACTAACCAACCAGCTAACCAACTCTCGTTTTTTTAATCCCAGGTAGGATTAAGAGGCAGTAGGTAAAAAAAAAAAAACAACAACACAGGTGCAGTGACTGTGTTTATATTGCACATTGAAAACAAAAGCTTATAGAAACACAAATCCAGATATTTCTTTTGATTCAGGAGAAACACCACCCTAACTACTTGTTCCAATTACAAAAACTTTCACTGGATGCTAGAGACTGCAAAAATCCATCACTGGTTTTACAACCATCCCCCACTAATAGAGCAGTAACTTCTCTAAGTGGTAACTTCCTCTTATTTATTACATCAAGATGTTGGGCTTATTTCTCCTGAGCTTTGCAAATCCTAAATTTAAAGGAACTAGATTCAAATTTCAATTTTATTCTTAGTTCTTTACAAATCATGACCCATAACAATCACAGTAATGAGTTTTACATACCAACTTCCAAAAGATAATTTAGATAATGCAAAAGTTCATACCCAGGTAAACTTGCACAATGAGCCAAACTAATGTAACAGACAAAATTTTCTTTTAAAGGTAAGTTCTGCATTTTTAGCATTTTCTCAAGAAGCTTGGCTCTGATTACTACAACAACTCAAATAGCTCTTCAGTTTTCATCCACACTGGCTCTCCAGCTACACTTTAACACTCTGTACTCCTTAAAAACTCAATCAAATGATACTAAAGCCATTTTTACACTATGCGAAAGGTAGATGTTGCCGCAATTAATCCCCCAGGGTTCAATTTAGAGGATCGAGTGAAGACCTACTAATTTGATCTGAGACAGCACCCCTGTCGGTACTGGTACTCCTGCTCCTCACAGGAAGTAAGGGAAGCCAATGGGAGCATTTGCTACTGTCAACCTCCCACTCTGTGGATGGTGATTTAAGATACATCGACTCCAGATATGTAATTAACATAGCTGGAATTGTGTATCTTAAGTCGATCTTTTAGTATAGACGTGCCTTAAGACTCTTACCTACAGCTCCATTTGGTAGCAGACTTGCCACCTCCCCAGTCTAGACCACACATACGACTCTATTTTTAGGTTCATGTTTAGGCAGTTATTCTACCAAAGTAATGCTATCAGGCCATATCTAATAGTTTCCCTTAGTTTGCTTCTTTATACTGAGTAGCAACTTTTCCAACCTACAACACATTTTACATGTAAAATAAAAAATATGTATCTTTTGTACTCTGACAGCTATGTTAGATCTCCTATGACCTTGAAATATAAAAGTACTGTATCATGAGAAAATTCTCTCTCTCTCCCTCTCTCTCTGCTCAGAAAAGAGGCGGCAGCTCAAGAGTCCAATGCATGAATTCAGCCATATCTGCAGTGTTTGGATAAAATTTAAAATTATTCACATTCAAACAAAACTGAAACTTTTTTGAAATTCCGATAACGTCAGTCAACTCGTTCCTTTACATTCCCCTTTTCTATTTCATGTTATTTTCTACTGTCAGATTTCTGCCAAGGCCAGAAGCAGGAATACAGAGAAGAGCAGACTTCTACTCAAAGTATTTTTAGTTAAATTTATGATATATTGGAACTCTCCTAGGGAAGTTTAATCTCATGAAATCTCCATCTTGATTTCCAGATTGGCTGGCATGGTTAAATCTAGCTAAACATCCAAACTTCTCTACCTGAACTAAACACAATCTCCAAAACATTTGAAGTTGATCCTTTTACTAGTAACTTGGGATGTCAATGTGTAGTCAACTACATGATTATCCGATAAATCTGATCTTATCGGTTAATCTTGTCGACTACACATTCCCTCCTCCCCCCCCCCCCAGTGCCTCTGATACAGAGGCAGCAAGGAAGGTGGGAGCAGAAGCCCATGAGAAGCTGGCTTTAAGCAGGTTCCCCATGAGCACTGGGTCAACCTGCCTTCCCCCACCCCCAGGCTGCTACTTCTGATAGAGAGGCAGCAATGCAGAGGGTGAGGGGGGAGCAGGCTGGAGCCAATATGCACAGGGATCTGGTTTTCAGGCAGGCTCTTGGCGTGTGCCAGCTCCGCGGACCCTACAGAGACAGTGAGAGGGGCAGGCAGCTTAAATGCTGGTTACCCCCAGCACCAGCTCCCTGGTGCTGCCTGCACCTTTGCGCTGCTACCTTTATCTCAGAGGCAGTAGCATGTGGGAGGGGAGGCTACCACGAAGCAGCCTCTGTTTGTGGCAGGCCCAAGCTCCCCATGGAAAGAGACTGCTCCGTATCCCACGGCTGCCCTGCAGCAGCAGCCCCTGCAGACAGAGGCTGGTCTAGCATCCCATGGTGCAGGCTCTGTCCAGTGAGCCTGGGCCCATTGCAAACAGAGGCTGGTTGATGGCAGCAGCTTCTGTCCATGGGGAGCTCGAACTCCCACGAACAGGGTCTGATGCCACCCTGCGCTGCTGCCTCTGTATGAAAGGCAGCAGTGTGAGGTGACAGAGGGTTCCCTGGGAGTGGGGCCAGGAGCGCACTGGCTGCTGGCCCGGCCCTTGGCGGCTACAGAATAGTCGTGTAACCGCTAAGATTTCATGTGGTTACATGACTATTCTATTACACAATATTTAACATTGTTATTAGTAACTATCAACAACTTTATTGCAGGGATATTCTCACTGATTCTAGGGCCCCTATGGCTTGCATAGAATAAGTTGTGGTCTGTATCTGTCTTAAAAATAAATGATTTTAATTTCCTTTTATGAATGTTGAAAAGAATAAAAGCCTGTAGTTGTAGAACATTCATAGTTTAAGCTTCCAAGAGCATGTGTGTTACCTTAATGAACAAAGCAGTACATCATTTTTGAAAATATAGTTTTAAAACTGAGAACAGAATTAATAATTTGTAAGTTTTGACTAAAATCCCATCTGCTTTATTAAACTGGACAATGCTAAAGGCAGGGAGCTAAACTGTGAATCACTCAATAATCATATAATTTCAAATGATATTAATTATAGAAAAAAATCAGGTGCATGCTGTAGAAATAAAGCACATTTATTCACTGAGTAGGATTAAAGATCTGTAAATATTTAGAAGCCAGAAGAGCATTTTTATAGTCAATAAAATGCTAAATAGGAACTCTCTCTCCAAATACAAAATCTAGATATTCTAGAAGGCAGACCAAAATAAGTTAATGTCCTTACATTCTACAAGTAGAATAAATCAGATTCCAGAAGAATAGTTGCTGTTTTTGTGAAGAGGAGAGAAGCGAGGGTGAGAGTATAATTGTAGAGGAGGAACCACTAAGTGAACTCCAATATAGTCTGAATCACAGTCAAAACAAAACAAAACAAAAATATCCAAAGATGGGAAGCACCTGGATAAAAAAAGAACACTGTCCTAAAATGGCTCAACAAATCCACTGGAAGGACAGAAAATTGGCTTAACTAGTAGACTGTTTGCTTTCAGGAGCAATGAAAATAGCAGAGGTAACAGACCTCCTATTTCCTATCTAACACAAAATTTCCGTTGTACAGATGGCTGCTTGAATCCAACAGAACAAACTGTCTAATCAATCTGGGAAGGCAGGGACAACTCCAGGCATCTCTCCATTCAGATCAATGCAACAGTAGCTGCATTGCCAGACAGCATAAAGTTCCTAACACTAAGGCCATGTTTACACTAGGAAATTATTTTGAAATTACTAAATTTGACAACCAGCATGATCTACTACACGGAATCACTGAAATTAGTTAAAGACAGGCTCTGTTAATGTAGACACGCTACCTTGGACTTAGAGCCACAGGAAGCACTGGGAAGTAATTAGTTCAAATTAGTGGCACCAGAGTATCCACACTACCGTTATTCTGAAATAAGTATTTCAGAATTAGCGTTACTCCTGATGAAAAGCAGGAGTATAGAATTCGAATTCTGTGGCCTGTTATTTCGAAATAATGGGCTTGGTAGTGAGGATGTTCTGCTTATAAATTCGATGGGGGGTGGGGTGGGGCGGGAAGGTTGGGGGTCATTTTGAAATAAAGTCCTAGTGTAGACCAGGGCTAAGTGTCTCTGGACTGATTTAGTAAAGACACATAACTAGGGGCTTGACCACACACGAAAATTGTAGCAATTTAACTAAATAAGTTTTAAAACTGTTTAGTTAAATTGATAAACCCAACAACCTAATGTGCAAGAAACTCTTATTTCACTTTAGCAAAAGATGGTAAGATATTTACTTCCACTAACTTGAGCATATAAAAATTAAGTGTATTATTGAAGCAGTTGATAATGCTGTTGTTATAATAGGCAAGAAATGCAGAACGAGTTCGTGAACTGGAAATCAGAGAGTAAACCTGAAAAGAGGGGCAAATGATTATTTCTTGCAAGCTCCAAGGGCAGGGAATGACTGGGGATCTGTGAAAAAAATGAGCAGGGACAGAGCAGCCATAAAAGCTCTGGTTTAAATGAAACAAAAAACAGCACTTTAAAGACTAACAAGATGGTTTAATAGGTGATGAGCTTTCGTGGGCCAGAACCACTTCCTCAGATCAAAATGAGATCAGATCTGAGGAAGTGGGTCTGGCCCACGAAAGTTCATCACCTATTAAACCATCTTGTTAGTCTTTAAAGTGCTACATAGTCCTGTATTTTGTTTCAGCTACACCAGACTAACACAGCTACATTTCTATCACTATTCTGGTTTAAATGGGCATTGCTTCAGAATAGGATTCTCCTATTTTGTGCCATTGAACATGGGGGATATGACTGAAATGTGAGCAAGCCATATGATTGTCTTCTCTAGAGGACTCCCCTGAAGCATCCACTTGTGAGTAGGGTCATCAATATGCTGGTGTTACTTCACAAGTGAAAGTTACCAAAGTGAAAGAAGCCCTGCTCTCTCCTCCACTGTAATGTGAAACTTTTCTCAGGTCAAAGTGAAGCCCTATCCAGGACAAATCCTCAAACAATTATTTTCCACCAGGAAACCTGCAACAAATGAGAAACTTCTTAAGTCTCAATGTGTATATCTCCAGTGGTTTGTAACTTTTTTTCAATCAAAGTTTAAAGCAAAGCGGCTTGGTCATTTTAAAAAGATTATTGCTTTTGGATGCTTGCTGGGGCTTTTAAAATTTTGAAAATGGACCTTAGGTTAGACTGTGGTTAGTACAATTAGGTGTTCAAGGAGGAGCACAATCCTCTACTACAGAGAAATGTGATCCCCCACTTTGCTAATGTTTTAAATGTCATAAGAACATTAACAAACACATTCTGACCAAATGCTCCATTTTGAAGCTCTCCTGTCAAATGCTCCATTTTGAAGATCTACTGTCCTTGTCTCCAATTTTCAGCAAATTCTTATACATGCAAGGCACCATGCTTTCTGGAGCTTCCTGAATGTAGAAAGAGTGCAGCATGCTTTTGACACAAACAGGTCAGCAGGTGGACTTAGCCAGCACTTTGAAGGAGATCCCAAAATAATTCTCACGGCAGCACTGTCTTCTCAGATTCATTTCAGGTCCTCACATTGTTTACTTATCTTTCTTCATTGGTCTTAATTCATCCCTGGCAAGTAACCACTGTGATGTAGAAATTATCAAAAGAAAACCCTCCTTGATGATTTGGAAGTAACGGAAGAGTCAACATTGCACAGGTCTCAAATTGCTACACCAGTGATCTGGCTGGGTTTCTGAAAACTCTCCTCCTTAAAAAAAAAAAAATCTCCAAAAGGGGAAGTGAAGTGATCTTTCAAAAGAGGAAACTGTGGTGATCTAAACTCTTATTATAGTTCACACAGACTTGGGAAATGTTCAGAGAGTGATGACACTTTGGATGACATTCTACACTGCTTCTAACTTGCAACTCTCTAAGTAGCAACTTGGTAACTATGAGAAGAGTTTGTGGAAGGGACATAACTTCCATACAAGGAGACAGATTTCCTCTGGATGCAGGTCCAAAAAATGGCAGAAAAAGTTATGAATTATTTTATTTTAAAATGTTTGGAATGGCAATCCATTATTTTCCTTCTCACTTTTTCCTTCAAATCCTGATGGGCCAGATCCAAAACCGGTGTAAACTGATTTACAGCAGTTTAGGATCTACACCCCAAATTTTAACTTACCTCAACATCTCTCTTAATTGAAAAGACACAATTTTTATGATGTAGGGATGTAAAAGGTTTACCCCTTGCAGTTAAACAGTAAGGGCTGGATCAGCTCTCCCCCCACCTTGAGAAGAGAGTTCCTCCTGCCCTGCGGGGCCTGTCCAGACCCCACCGCCACAGGTTACTCGGGGAGCTGGTTGCAGAGCCCACAGCAGCAGCTGGCAGCCTCGCTCTCATGGAAACTTCGTTATAGGCTCTAGAGTATAAAGCTCGGTAAGCTTTATAGTCCAGCACTCTCAGCACGTGTAACCCGCTAAGATTTTTTTGTGGTTACACAGTTACCTTTTTAAATGACTTTTTACATCCCTAGTATTATTAAAAAATCTATCATGTGATTAAAAATCTGCAGGATTAAATTACAATTTTATTTTTTATCTATAAAATAATACAGAGATTGGTACTAAAAATCCTCATTTGTCAGTTACCACACAGCTCAGGAAAATAATTGGGGTTATTATTGAGTGATAGCTATGGCTAAATGTTGCCTTTATTGGGGGGGGGAAGGACTCACAATATCTGAATACCCTATTTAAAGCGTGAAATAGAACAACAAAACAAATAAATATATTGCTAATATGGTCTTTTAACATTTCTAAACATTTAATTATAAATACTAAGTCTGTGAAATTTGGGATTGTAAACACTATCTTACAGACTACACTGATAACAACAGAGAAGTGGAAAGCCATCTTTCAGCATATTTTGACAGTCTGCTGCACAGTGCTGGCTCAGGGCCTACGTCGCCACAGACATAAGGTGTTGAAAACACTGTCAGGCATTTTAGATAAGAACAGATTCAGGGCAAGGGAGAATAACTGCTACAGAGGACTAAAATTTATGAGGGCTGTAGCAAAAGATAAACAGGAGGCCTCTGAGGGAATTCTAGCAATATATACCCTGAATGAAAATAAGCAAAGAGACTGAAGATCTTTTATCCAGGTAGCTAAAGTATCACTATACCAAGTCCTGAGAAAACAGCAAATAGTTCTGCAACACCTTAGAGACTAACAAAACATGTAGATGGTATCATGAGCTTTCTGTTTTGTTAGTCTCTAAGGTGCTGCAGGACTACTCACAGTTTTTTAAGTTTTTTCAGTTACAGACTAACACGGCTACCCCTCTGAAACTTATACCAAGTCCTGACAGCCTACACCTATCTATATCACACTCAATGTAGTTCTTGGGTCCTGATACTCTTGTGTTCGGATTACCAAATTTTAAAAGGTTTGAGTGTCACCTATTTCTAGGGTTGCCAGGTGTCCGGTTTTGAACCGGACAGTCCAGTATTTGAGCTTTCTGTTCAGGAAACAAATTGAGAAAATATAAATGAGAAAATATAAATGTCCGGTGTTTTCTAAATAAGATGTAATGTAGCTTGTGATGTAATTGTCAAATGTGTCCAGTATTTTTGTTGAAACTATCTGGCAACCTTACCTATTTCCTTTTGTGTTAGTGAGGAAAGCATGTGAGTTATTAAGTCACTGCACGACGGTCACGTTGCATTCTGTTCAGAGGCTTTTATGAAGATATCACATTAACCGTGCACACTCCTGGTCGGGATTGTAATTTATGTGCTATTAGTTTCCTTCATAAGAACAGCACTGAAGATGGAGGAGACTAATGCATAAGATTAACTAGAGGTAATAAAGCATAATACTTCCTACCTCCAGTCTGTCTGTCCTCATTAATTTTTGTGCGGCAGCAGCGGCAGCTGCGGGAACGGGGACACCAGGATTCCCTGCAACCAGCATCGGTGCAGTTGGTAAGATCTCCGCTGGGACCAGGCCTGGGGAGACAGGCCCCAGGTAAGGATTAAAGGCTGCTGATGCATTGGTGGCTAAACTTGGTGCAACTGAAAACATTGGCTGGAAAAAAAAGAAGAAACAATTCTTTAATGTTTATATTAGTCAGTATTCCAAATACTACCATATACTCTAAAGCAGCTGTTTCTTGCTGCCTTTGATAACAGTGTATTTGTTGCTATTAATTCAAACAAAATATTTGCTGTAGCTCAAGAATATACAGCACGCGTTAGCCATCTTAGTGCACTCATTTACTAAAAATTCCATTAAGAGGGAATTCAATTTAAAGACTCATTTTTCCAATAGAAGCTAATTCGGACATGCACGTATGACAGGTGGCAGTAGTATGACTGACCTTTGACTCTCTCAACAGCATGGACACAAATCAGCACTCCCACACGGCTGTGTAAGGAAAGCATCTCACAACTGTGATCTCAGAGACTCTCGTGTGCATGTTTGAACATGAAGTGTGCACAAATATCCACAAATGAGAATGATCTCAGTGGGTGAGAGAAGGCACCCTTACATTCAGTCACTGTTAAACAGCATGGACACACATTCTAGGGTAAATAGGTACTGAGGCAAAGGAATTACACCAACATAAAAGAAGTCCAAGATCAGAATATAACAATTCTTTCTGGTAAAAGTAAATAGGTTGCCCCCCCAGACATTCAGTAGAAAGTAAACATTTTCAGTATCCTGAATATTGAGGCCAACAACTGAAGCCTTCAGTTAAACAGGTTTCAGAGGCTCCTTCAAGTTCATGTGTTGTTAAGGTCCAGAAGCTCAACCAAGTTCAACTACAAAATTCTATGCTGTTATATTACACTGGTGTAAAACTGAAGTAACTCCACTACTCCACTGCATTTGACAGAATTATTCCATCAGTATAAATGACAAAATCCATACTTTTGATTGCTGTGTAGAGCAGCTGGTTAATATGTTATGAATTATAGAATCATGGAACACTAGAATTGGAAAGGACCTCGAGAGGCCATCAGGTCCAGTCCCCTGCCCTAATAGCAGGGCCAAGCACCATCTAGGTTGCAGGCAGGTTCCCGTGTGGTCTAGTGGCTAGGGCTCCTGCCTGGGGAGGACAGGGTTGTGGGTTTGAGTCTCGGGTCCCCTGGGGTCAGGTCAAGAGGCACTAGGGCAGGTGGGATAAAGAGCCTACCCGCAGTAAGGTGGAGGGGCAGGTTCCTGCATGACCTAGTGGAACGGGTGCCCGCCTTGGGAGTACAGGGTTGCAGGTTCAATTAACCTCATGAAGTCTTATCAGCTACTTGACTATTCTATAAACCCCAGTGAGTGGGGCCAGCCGCCAGTGTGCTCTGGACTGGACTCCAAGGACTCCCCTGTATCAGAAGCAGCAGTATGGGGTTGCCCCTCACTACTGCCTCTAATACAGAGCCTGTGTGTGGGAGGTATAGAGGTGAGGTATGGTATCAGGGTTGGGGATTAAGTCATGGGCTAGCTAGGGAGCACGCATCTATGGGGGAGCATCTGGCGGCTCCCAGATAACAGGCTGCAGCAACCCCATTAACTCTCACAGTGCCCTGCCAGGCTTGGCCTGTGGTGGCATGGCACATGCATCTTGCTTGCAGCCAGCTCTGCACACACACATACACACCCTCCCCCACGTGGTGGGGCCTCACATGAGCCCCCCTCCAACTCCGGGGTGCAATTAAACTGTCTGCTTGGGGCACTGGAATGGCTCCGTCCAGTCCTGGGTGATATGTGTGTCTAAGCAACTGGAACTGAGCCAGGCTACCTGCCCTCCTGCTCCTAATACACTTTAAATGCAGAGCTGGAGCAGGGTATGTCCTGGACCTGGCACAAGTTAGGACTGGGCTGGGCTGCTGGCTGCTGGCAAGCTTGCTAAAAAATTTACTGCAGGGGGTGGGGTGGGGTGGGGGGAGAGAATGTTTACAGTATATAGCATTAACCTATAAGCTTTTGCTTATTGGTTAATCAACTATACTATTACATCCGGTCCTCCCTGATAGATGTCTATCCGACCTGCTCTTAAATATCTCCAATGATGTAGATCCCAGAACCTCCCTAGGCAATTTATTCCAGTGTTTAACCACCCTGACAGTTAGGAAGTTTTCCTAATGTCCAATTTAAACCTCTCTTGAAAGCTCTCTTCAAACCTGTATTCTTAGACTACAGATGAACATGCACCATCTAATGGATCTCCCTGTCTCTCATCTGAGCTCTCTTAGGGTACGTCTAGACTACCGCGTTTTGTCGACGGAAGTTTTGTCGACAGATCCTGTTGACAAAACTTCCGTCGACAAAGAGCGTCCAGACACATTGAGTTCTGTCGACAAAGCAAGCTGCTTTGTCGACAGAACTCCGTAGTCTGGACGCAACGTTACAGGCAATAACACCTTCTGTCGACAGAAGGTGTTATGCCTCGTAAAATGAGGTATACCAGCGTCGACAATACTGCTGAGTTCTGTCGACGTTATATCGACAGAACTTAGCGGTAGTGTAGACGCTGGTATAGTTTTGTCGACAAAAGTGGACTTTTGTCGACAAAACTAGGTAGTCTAGACACACCCTTAGGCACCATATACAAGGATATGTTTTTTTTTCTCTATGAAGTGACTCATGTACCTTACAAACCAGGAGCCAAAAATGTCATTTTAAACATTGAACAAAGGCACAATATATACAAAGGTAATTTACAAAGCATAAGTTTAAGCTGGGAGTAAATCCTCTCAAGTGTCTGGATCTTCATCAGAGTCAATGAGATGAGACCCAGACAAATTAGCTGATGGATAAATTAGTATAAGAGATCAAGCAACAGAACTGGCAAGTTAGTTCTTTGACTGTGGATAGCAACTAGAAGGCTAGAAGGCTAGAAGAATCCTTCCTTCAGCTCAATATACCAACTAAAGGGTAAATAATAAGGGATATACTATAGGCTTTCAATCACTGAAATGAGAAGCGTAGCAGATTTTACAAAAACAGCCTCAAATCATTCTGAATCTTGTCTTACAGGTGTTTTGCTAAGTATTCTATACATGTGTTGTACCAGATTAATCATTAATTATACTGGCCCAGCCTAAGATCCCTTTTCAGTCTTTTGGGGGCAAAGGTAATTTAAAGCTACGATAAGCAGGTAGCACAGAATGTCCCCTTCACTGGAGAATTCCCAGGTGGTAAAGCCAGCTTTATGTATTCAGACAGTGCAGCAGTCTCAGAGAACCTTAAACACTAGGCATAATTTACAGCACCTCTGAGATTACATCAAATTATGCTAAATTATCTTTAGCTGGCCTCATGACAAAATGGGGGTAAAGATGGAGTAGAGCCACCTTCGCTACCTAGATAAACTGAGCACCCTTCTGTCACACCTGAGAACTGCACACACACAAGATATATCTATCTATCTATATCTATATCTATAGATAGATATAAAAACATAATGCAAAAAGATATTTCCATTGACTTTTTCTACTCTAAAGACTGAGCTATACATCTAATTTTCTCCAAAGAATAAGTCAGTATTACTTATAAAATCCATTTTCTTGAGGTCCCAGAAATTTCAGTTTACTCATTTCTTTAGGCCACAATATTTCCATAAACTTTATGTGTAGTTAATGAAGGAAATACATCCAACAAAACCTAGGACTAATTGTTTCTGCTTAAACTGGGTAAACAAACGATGATGAGTTTGACCAACATACACGGTACTGGATAACATGGTACAGAAAACCTGTAAAAATATACAAACCATAATGTCTTTGAAAACATTTTGTAATTGTGCCAAAATAAATGGAAATAAAATATTATTTCACATTCTGTAATTAAACAAATTATAGAAAGCGGGCACAAAGTATAGGTAGAACATTTCTAAATGCACCACAGCAAGTCAAGGAATCTCCACAGGTTCCCATAAAGCTTCAGCTTCTATTACTGAGAACATTTTACCACATTCTTTATATAAAGATTTACTGCAATCTGGAGTAAGTCAGAAGAGGAGTTTGGGTGAGGAGGTTATGCAGTTTCTTAGGGCACGTCTACACAGCAGGGTAAAAGTCGAATTAAGCTACGCAACTTCTGGTATGTCAATGAGAACACTCTTCCTTCAACTTCCCTTACACCTTGTGAAATAAGGTTACAAGAGTCAGAATAAGAAGTCCTCCAGCTTGTCATTATTTCAAAATAATGGCTTGCTCTGTATACATGCTCTTTGTTAATTCGGAATAATTCCAGTTTTTCTGAAATAACGCTGCTGTTCAGATGTACTCGTAGAGTAGTGGAATGGGAGTTGAGACTCTAAAATTTTATTCCCATCTCTGCTACTGGCTCTTTGTAAGTCTTTGGGGAAGCCACTGGTTTAAAATGATGTGGCTTAATTTTCTCATCTGTAAAGTGGACTTAATACTATCCAGCATTGTTGTAGTCGTGTTGGTCCCAGGATATTAGAAAGAAAGTGGGCTTACCGAAAGCTCTTCCTTCATTGTCTGCTGTTTGATATTTTAACACAGAGTACTATGCAATGGTAATGAAATAATGTAAAATTATAAACATTATATAAAAGTGAAAAACTAAAATAGAATTTTAAAAAGCTGAAATAAAATTTTCCCCAAAGTTTATTTTTATTTTGGTTTTTTTTATTACAATAGATCACTTTTTCTCAGATATTTCAGTGCGATGAAATATGGTGTTTTTTTAATGAAAAACCATTCTGGAAAAAAATATCCAACCAGCTCCACCCACAATAATAAACTGATCTCATTACATGTCCCATAAACCTTAATGACCGCATACATTAAAAGCAGACAATAAACACATTTAGGTTTACAGTGAACCAAGACAACAGGGAGAACTGGACCTCTCTTTTTGTGCATCTAAGTTTGTGCGTTTAAAGAACAATAATTACAGTTTTACCCAGATATCTAAACACCTGATTGTGCTTAAGTGTCGAGTAACTAGATATTTAAGCAACAGAAAATGTTCCTACCAGGGACAAAATATTTCCTGCAACTAGTTGCACCCACAACATGTTTCAAAATCTGGCACTGACCGCACAGCACTCAAGCTGTTGT